CATCAGAGTCAGCAGCATCAGCCGCCGCACATAATCCACAGCCACCTTTGTGGCCCTAGCAGAACCCTAAAGATGCCTCCCAAGAAGAAGCTGAAGGCTCCGCTGCCAAAGTTTGGGAAGGCCCCCAAGAAGAAGAAGAAGGGTGGGGCGGCGGCGGCAGCGAAGGAGAAGGCCATCCGGAGCGCAGTCCCCTACGTCAGCGAGAAGGAGAAGTACCTGCAGAAGGAGTTTGCCATCCTGACGGAGCATATCCACAGCTACACCGAGCGCGTGCGCCACTTCCAGTGGGAAAACGAGTTCCTGGACAAGGAGGCCCAGCGCTTGCGGGACACCAACAAGGTCTACCTCTCCTACATCATGCGCCGCAACCTCCGCTGCCAGAACGCCATCATCTCCCTGAACGACCAGAACCGCTGGGACATGGCCCAGATCCGGAAGGAGAAGGCCGCGCTGGCCGCCCGGTACGCAGTCATGGAGCATGAGTTGCGGGAGGAGCTGCTGCGTCTGGAGGCGCGGCTGTCGCTGCTCTGCAAGGAGGTGGAAGCCCTGCGGCCCTGGCAAGAGCTGCAGCAGGAACAGCTGGCCCGTATCCGGGAGCTGGAGAAGGAGCTGCTCACCTTGAAGGTCCACCACTCGGAGCAGATGCACCGGCTCAAGAGCCGCTACCTGCACCTGGTGGCCGAGTACGAGATGGAGGCGCAGCAGAAGATCCAGGCGCTGGCCAAGCTGGCCGAGAAGGAGGCCGTGCGCTGCCTCATCCTGCACGTCAAGCATGTCAAGATCGACAACCAGCACCTGCGCCACAACCTGGTGGAGCTCATCAAGCGGTCTCATGGCCTCAAAGCCTTCCTGGCCCAGCTCCAAGCCCAGCGGCACCTGCTCCTCCAGGAGCACCTCTACCGGCAGGAGCTGGCCCGCAGGCGCAGCTGGCTCTGGCACCCGGCCGCCGCCCGCCTGTCCCTCGCCCCAGGAAGCGGAGGAGTAGGAGGCTTCTTCCGGTGCAGCCCCACCGCCAGGGGCCGGGTCCTCTCCCCCAGGGCTCTGCCAAGCATCTCTGCCCCTTCGGTGGCCCAACCGCACGATGGAGGTGATGAAGATGGTGCTGATGCTCCTGGAGGGAGCTCCAGAAGGAAGCTGACCATTGCTCCTGAGCCTCTACTGTAGAAGGATGGTCGGGTTGTTCTTTTCCAGGCCCACCCCATGCCGCTCGCCACCTCCTCAGCCCTGGAGGGAGGCCCAGCAGCAGAAGGTTCTGGAAAAGAACCACTTCCACGAGGCAGCGGCAAGAGAAACGCCTCAAAGGGTCTCAGGCCAGCAGCCCACCTCCCGGCCGCGTGGCTCTCGTTTTCCGTTCTTAGTTCCGTGCTGTTCAGTTCTGGTTTTGGTTCTGCATTGTTAACTTTGTTCTTGTTTTAAGCCTCCTGGGAACGACATGTCGAAGGGAGCATTGAGATAATAAAACTACTGCCACTCACTCAGTCTCTCGTGGGTCAGTTTGGAGTTGTTAGAAAGCAGCGTCTCTTCAACCGGTTATTTATTTCGTGTCAGGGCAGCCAGTCAATTATATTACATTTCTAACAGAACAAAGCAAACAAAGAGACAAAATACAAAATGTGTGAGTTTGGTAGTTGATTAAATGTCCTTTGACCAGTATCTGGAGTGCTTCTGGTGATGCTGCAAGAAGGTCCTCCACTGTGCATGTGGCAGGGCTCAGGTTGCATTGCAGCAGGTGGTCTGTGGTTTGCTCTTCTCCACACTCGCATGTCGAGGATTCCACTTTGTAGCCCCATTTCTTAAGGTTGGCTCTGCATCTCGTGGTGCCAGAGCGCAGTCTGTTCAGCGCCTTCCAAGTTGCCCAGTCCTCTGTGTGCCCAGGGGGAAGTTTCTCATTTGGTATCAGCCATTGGTTGAGGTTCTGGGTTTGAGCCTGCCACTTTTGGACTCTCGCTTGCTGAGGTGTTCCAGCGAGTGTCTCTGTAGATCTTAGAAAACTATTTTGATTTAAGTCGTTGACGTGCTGGCTGATACCCAAACAGGGGAAGAGCTGGAGATGTCTCTGCCTTGGTCCTTTCACTATTGGCTGCTACTTCCCGGCGGATGTCAGGTGGTGCAATACCGGCTAAGCAGTGTAATTTCTCCAGTGGTGTAGGGCGCAGGCACCTGTGATAATGCGGCATGTCTCATTAAGAGCCACATCCACTGTTTTAGCATGGTGAGATGTGTTCCACACTGGGCATGCATACTCAGCAGCAGAGTAGCATAGCGCAAGGGCAGATGTCTTCACTGTATCTGGTTGTGATCCCCAGGTTGTGCCAGTCAGCTTTCGTATGATATTGTTTCTAGCACCCACTTTTTGCTTGATGTTCAGGCAGTGCTTCTTGTAGGTCAGAGCAGACTGACTGACATTGGCCACATTGAGTCAGCCTTGCTAGTTCGGGGCTCGTTCCCAGGCAAGTGTGTTAGGACTGACTCGGGATTATCAACCCTTGTTGGCCTCAAAACACTGACAAGTATTACAGCCCAAGGTTAAGCAAATTACTCCACGGTAGAAAGAGAACCCAAAGGAACAAGGGGAGGCCAAGAGTCCAGTCCAGAGTCAAAGCCAAATGCCGGAATGGCAAGCAACGAGGTCGTGTCCACAAGGCAAGGGCCCTAGTCCAGGAGCAATCCAAAAGGTACATGAGAGAAAAGGCTCCAAGGTCCAGGCATGGACACCTCAGGAACCCACCACATCCACCCCACTGACCAGGCCATCCCCGTTGCTCAGGATCAGCTCTAAAATAGCCAATTCCCTTGTTGTTGTCCCACCTTCTGGATCATTAAATGGTCTGCAAGGTGAGTTAAGTATTGGTTGGACCTGATGGTCTTGCCTTCCAAGTAGTATCAGGATAACGTATTTCCTTACATAGCATTGACCATCACATAATAGTCGCACCCCCATTTTTGGGGTGGTAAACTTAGTATTTTTGTGTTCTTCACATAATAGTCGCAGAGCCATTTGGAACCGACTCCCTTTCCCTTCCTTCTTTCTCTAAAGGCAGTTTAAAAATTATGAAACGGAGGTCTCTGGACATCAGATCTTCCCTCCTTCCTTTGAAGAGCTCCATTTCAGATTTTGTAAACTGCCTTGCCTTCGGAGGAAGGAAGAGGCAAAACAGTTTAGAACAAATATGCAAACAAACAGGAACAAAGTTGCTTTTTGGAGGATGGATAATCTCTCCACTTTTCTAAAAAAAAATAATGAAAACAAACTGTTGAATCAAAGGCAGATGTTTTCATCATGTAATAGTCTTACCCTCTTTTTGATTAAAAATGGGGATAGTGTGACTATTATGTGATGAAACATGGAAGTTGGTGCCTCCCAATCCTATTCTCCACCTCCCCCACATTTGGGGGTAAGGCAGTTTTCTAAAATAAATAATGAAAACAAACTGTTGAATCAAAGGCATTTGTTTTCATCATGTAATAGTCTCACCCCCTTTTGATGAAAAATGGGGAAAGTGCGACTGTTATGTGATGAAACATGGAAGTTGGTGCCTCCCAATCCTATTCCCCCCAAGAGACAGACAGAATATAATAAAAACAAACTGTTGAATCAAAGGCAGTTGTTTTCATCATGTAATAGTCTCACCCCCTTTTTGATGAAAAATTGGGAAAGTGCGACTATTATGTGATGAAATATGGAAGTTGGCGCCTCCCATTCCTATCCCCCCCCCCCCCAAAGAGACAAGAGGCAGAAGGATCTGGTACATTCTCACTTTTTATTAGGACATCCTAGTTATACAGCTTTAGTGCAAAGGTTGCCCGGGGGCACGGTCGTGGCTGCTCAGCATGCAGTAGTGCAGGGCCCCCCTAAAGCCAGCCACAAGGGTCGGGGGTCAGGGGTCAAGGGGGGTAAAGGGGGAGGGGAGGAATGGCGCAGGGCCTACACCCCCTGCCCCCCCAAATGACATCAGGAGTCAGGAAATATCTTCACATCTCGGTATAAAAGGTTGCAGCAAAGAGAGCAACTAAGGGTCCATTCTGCCCATCCTGCCCCCCTCCCGGAACCTAGAGGGAGGCCCCACTCATTTGGAAAACGGGAGTGGGGTATGCAAGCCCTGAACACTCTCAAACAGCCCACCCCCCAAGTGAAAGGAATAGAAAAGTCCAGAAATGGGGAGGTACTGAGGGGATTGGGGTAGATAGCATATAAACAGAGCCCCCCCCCCTTCCTAAAGGCTTGGTCTCTTGTTAGGGAGGGGGGCGGGAGTTAGGAGAGGGGCTGGTGACGATGTGTGGTTGATGGGGGGGGTATTGGGTGGCATGCCTGGGACAAGGAGGTCCCTCAAAACGAAACTGGACACCTCCAGATCAAAATACAAAAGAGAGAGATGGGGAGGGGAGGGAAGAGACAGACGAGCACAGCCTAATACAGCCCCCCCCCCCCACCAAATCTTGCTCGTCCCCGTCATTCACGCATAGACAAAACCAAAGGGGGTGGGGAGGGAGTAGGAGTATAAATCCTGGGTTGAGGGGTCAAAAGGGGAAGGAAGGAGCACAATGACCACAAAGAAACGAGGGGAGGGTCCGAGGGTGATGCTGCTGCTGCTGCTGCTGTTTGGAGAGAGAGAGGACCCCCCCTTCCGGACCCCCTACTCATTGCCGTGGCCGATGATGGCCAGGATGTAGAGGAAGATGTTGATAATGTCTGTGTAGAGGTTGAGGGCGGCAAAGATGTACTCCTCAGGGCTGAGGGCCAGCTGCTTGTTGCCCAGGATCATCTGCGTGTCCACCGCCAGGAACTGCAAGGGAGAGAGAAAAGGAGGTCAGGGGGCAGATTGGGGATGCGCAGGAGAACCCCTCACAGCAGGTCCAGCAGAGGAAGAGGCTGAAGAGGAAGCAGGAGGGGACCCCTGCTCGTGGGAAAAGCCTTCCCTTTTGGGGTGTGCTAGTGTGCAGATAGAATCATAGAATCATAGAATGTAAGACTGTAGGTTTTATATAGCAATATTAAATGATCACTCACAAGCCGGTTTTGCTTGGAAATGAATATATTGCTTGTATCTCTGCAGCAAAGAAAGACACTACTGACTTTTTCCCACCACCACTTCCTTTTATACACCTTTCCTGCCCATCTCCCCCTCTTCTCAGTTTCCTTATTAGAACTTGTTGCTTCACAAGTTCCAATACAAGGTTTCCAGCGCCCTCTGCTGGCTTCAAAATGTCACAGAGACTTCAATGGAGTTATGGATAGAAAACTGGATAAATCTCACCCCACAAAAAAAGAAAAGGGGGAAAGGAATATAACAGAACTTAATAAAGTAATAACTAGAGAGGGATTGATAGATGTTTGGAGAACGATAAAGGGTAATGAAAAAAGATTTACTTTCCATTCCTCAGTGCATAAAAATTATTCGAGAATAGATTATTTCTTTGTTTCAAAGGACTTAATTTCCAAAACTCAAGATGCTGAAATAGAGATTATAAAAATTTCAGATCATGCACCCATTAGTATCATAATACAAATTAAAAAAAATTATAGGCTAGCTAAAAGATGGAGAATTGATAATAGAGTACTAGAAGATTAAAAAATATCAGGAAAAATAGCAAAAGAACTAGAGGAAATTTGGGAGATAAACGACAATAATCAATGTTCTGTCGCAATAGCATGGGATACAATGAAGGCAGTGGCCAGAGGACTCTTCATTAAAGAATATAATAATTTAAAAAAACAACAGGAGGCAGAAGAAAAAAAACTAGAGGCAGAAATCAAGGAATTAGAGAGAAGATATATGACAGAACAAAATAGAATGAGTTATGCAAAATTAATAGCAAAGAGGCAAGAACTTGAAAAAAGAGGGATTGAAAAAGCACAGAGAGATTTGATTTATTTAAACAGAGAGTATTTTGAGTATAGTAATAAAAGCTAATGCAGCACAAATTAGGAAACAAAAGAAATTGATAACTGTGATTAAAGATAAAGATGGAAAACAGTGCATGAGAATGGAGGATAAAATACTAATTTTTCAGGAATTCTATCAGGAGCTATATACAGCAAATGAAGCCCCTAGAAAGAAAGTTGAAGAGTATATAGATAAACATTGTAAAATAAAGATCCAAGAAAGAGATAAATTAATTATGGAACAAGCAATATCAGAGAAAGAGATTGAGGAAATTATAGACAATTTAAAACCTGGAAAGACTCCAGGGCTGGATGGGTTGGGACCAGAATATTACAAAAAATTCAAAACATTATTGATACCTAAATTAAAAGATCTATATAATAAAATAATAAAAGGAGAAAAAATTCCGCCATCATGGGAACAGTCATTGATCACTTTGATATTAAAACCCAATAAAGACCCTACAGACCCAGGATCGTACAGACCTATCTCATTAATAAACCAAGATGCAAAAATATTAACTGCCATACTGGCTAAAAGGATGAATAAATTTATATATAATCAAAGAAGATCAGTGTGGATTTATAGG